TATTCCTCAGTGCAGACGATTTAACTTAAAAACACATGGTGAATCGTTTAAAGGCAACAGTGCTGAGCTAATTAGTAAATAACAATGCCAGAGTGGTAGTGAGACACTAGCAAACTTCCAAAGGATTTTTAATTTGCCCTGCTTAAATAAACGGATAGGGGAGAACTAGGAAATTAAATTTTATGCAACATATCACCTCTTGAAATCAAAATTTGAAAAGTTCAACCAAAGGTTATACTACAGTGCAGCATTAGTTTCCTGCTTTGATCATTGATCCAAGGCTTTCACAGGATATTGACAAAGATTGGTTGTGACCACACATATGCTTTAGCTTTCTCTGTTGAAGTGATACCAGCCAACAAGAGTTGCTTCCAGAGCTAGCTCACGCTAGTCCTCCTTGTAATATATGATGCCTCCACCTAAGATTAACAATAATCTTAGGACAGCAAGCCTCAATAACTACATTCATTCTCTTCACACGAGAACCAAGGAGAAATCATTTCCTGTAACCAGCTCAACGGTTCTACAAATTCACAATTTTTTCAGCTGGAATAGGAATAAACCCTTCTTTTTCCTTTGTGCCCCCCACTCCCCACGCATCAAGATACAATACCATTCACTTTGGCCTGCCACTTTCAAGGTCGTAAAACTGGCTTCCCAAATCCTTTGTATTTCTATAAATCAATGCATTAAACTGCTAGGTTTTCATCAGTTGTAGAAGTATCAACAGGAATCCAGAGAGCTCATGGTCAAAAAAACCCTAATATTATCAGCCACAATAGCCAACTACGTTTGTTCTCGGCCCATGAGAAATGCAAGGTAAAGCTTAAAACCATTCGACTTGTTGAGAAATAAATGTTTTTTACCCTGTGTCTGCCATGGATTGAATGGTATGGACAATCAGATACTACAGCAAAGTAATTTCCATACCTACATTTTCAAGAGATTTCTCCCTCAAGTCATTCAATCTATCTCAAGTTCTTAAGGTGATAGCAAATGCTGGGCACTCAGTCCTTTCAGGACAGACCATGAGAAAGTACTATCATAAAATGATTACAGAGAATGATACTCCAAGATTACAAGGAATAAATCTAAAACTTACGGGTGTCGTGTTTCATAATATGTGTTGGCTGTAAAGTAGGTGGGAAGGGAACTCTAAAGGAAGAATAAACATTGGAAACTCTTCATTTCCCCGGGCAGGAATCAAAACCAGAGGGATCTCTGTTCCTTTAACTCCTTCCCTGTCTTCCTCGTTCCTTCCTGAATACACACACGCATGTGCACATGTACATACATTGCGCAAGACGGGTAAAGAAAACATTCCAGCTGGCCATGGGTTGTCTCCCATGGAAGTTACTGCTTCCATTGCACATATTCTTGACATACAAAAACAGCAACACAAAACATACCATTTAAGTAAGACTTCTGTCACTGATTTCATCACGACAGCAACATCTAATTTCATTTTCTTAATTAGTTAGTAAATAATTCTATTTACAAGCATGTATACGGTACAATGTTACCATTAACTACAGGTGCACATAATAATCTACTTTATTCAGGCTCTTTGATGCATGTGTCAACTAAACATATTCAAGCACTAGTAAGCTAACACGTTGCAATTCTGCGTGTAGAGAACTTCTAGAGGCATATGGGACACTTTAGCCGTGCATTTCAGAAACATTTGCAAGGTAGAGCAGAACACCGAGTGTTAGGAAACTTGGTTTTCACAGCCATAGTGAAATACTGGGGATACAGGTATTTCCAACAAAAATGGCTCTGTGCATTTTCAAACTTTTTCTTTCCTAATTCTTTCAACATGTCCCATGGAAATCCCATCTCATGCCCCTTCCTGGCTGCTCATCCAGTCTCATGAACAGACTCCTCTAGTCAACCTTAATGCTCACTCAGATGCTTCACAGCAGTATAATGTAATTCATGGCAATTCACAGACTCAGATAGCTGCAAGCAACTTCAAGAGGCCATCCATAACAGTAGGGATGCCTCTAAAGGCAGCACCAGCTTGCACATACATCATTTCCAAAAGATATCTAAGCATTTCTGAAAAACCCTTACTACGCTAATCGCTAGGGAAGCATTCATCGGTTTTATTTGTTCTGTTAGAAAGGTTACTTTCACATCTAACTGAAATCTCCCTGATATTTAAGTCCTTTAATTCTTATTCTATCCAGCATGGGCAGCAGAGAGTTCTCCTTTCTGTCTTGCAGCAGTCCCTATGTAATAGAAGACTCGTAAGTTCCTCCTCAATCTTCTCTTCTTTAGAAGAAAAACAAGCATAGCTACTCAATCTTTCATTGCATTTTATTTTCAAGACCTTGTATTGTTATCATTGTTCCAGTGTGGATTCTCTCCAACTAGGCCACAACTATGGATGCAATACTTCAGCTAAGACCTTATCAAAGCTGGGCAAAGCTGAAGATTTATTTCATGCATTTGAGTGCCAGGTTAACGGTTGGACTTGATGGTCTTAAAGGCCTTTTCCAATCTAAACGATTCTATGATTCTATTTTGAAAGTTATATTATGTCCTGTTGATGTATCTTCTACGAAATATTACTCACCTTTTGTTATACCACAATATTATTAATTTACATGCACTGGTGATGTGCTACAGTCCTACACCTTTTTCTTGCACAGCATCTTGTTCCTTGTGTTATATTTGTACCTAACTGTATGAGAATCTGCATGAAAATTACAATTCTTACTTTTCCCCAATAAACTTAATCTAATACTTTTCTAAAATCATTTTTCTCTTCTGCAAGAAGTGCTTCCAATTCCACTACACTTTCAGTACGTTCCAATCCAACATCAATGGAAATTGGGGCATAACCTGTTATTATCAAGAATTCCACTCAATACATCTTTCAATTTTAATAATGAACCACTGGTAACTATTCTCCAAATACAGCGGATTCTTTTAGACCAAGTTGTCCCAGCTCATTTATGAGACAATGCCAAAAACTAAGATCATCATCTGCTACTTCTCTGTTTATAAGGTCTGTTACCTTTTCTCATCAGAAACTGTGATTGCTTTGACATAACCTCTTCTTGATAAATATGTGTTTCATTTGCTTGTCTCCTTATTATCTTCCTGGTACTTAAACACAGTCTGATTATTTGCATAAGTATTTTTCTGTGAATTGTAGTTAAACTCACCTCATAATCTCTTGGCTCTCTTTTTTTTCCTTTTCAAAAACTAAATGCTTCATTTGTCCACCACTGCTAAATTTCTCCTCCTCCATTTCTCAAAAAAAAATATGCACTCTGAAATTTTGCCTGCCAGTCTTGTAGGTACAAGAGAATGAAGATCATAATGACCAGTCAATTTGAAAAAATTCTTGAGTTAGCCTCTGATTTTCTTCACATTATACTTTTCCATCCTTCCTTCCATTAAAAAAACAATTCTGGTATTACTCCTTCTTTTTGGATTTGAGATCAACAAAGCTTTCCCACCACTGCAAGCATCCTTGTCTCTTTTGCTCTCCTCCCCAGTTCAAAATATTCCTCAGATCCCAGACTCTACTTGTTTTCCTCATTCCTTCCTTCAATGGCTACCTAAAGCTCTGTCCTTGGAATTTCTGTGTGCTCCTGCCTTAGCTTCTTGACCCACTTAATTCCAGCTCTCTTTCTATACAATGACTAATTATGAGATTAATTTATCTTAGCTTGGCACTGGTGAGGCCGCACCTCGAGTACTGTGTTCAGTTTTGGGCCCCTCACCACAAGGAGGACATGGAGGTGCTGGAGCGTGTCCAGAGGAGGGCAACGAAGCTGGGGAAGGCTCTAGAGCACAAGTCTTACAAGGCTGAGGGAACTGGGGTTGTTTAGTCTGGAGAAAAGGAGGCTGAGGGGAGACCTTATGGCTCTCTACAACTACCTGAAAGGAGGTGGCAGCGAGGTGGGGGTTGGTCTCTTCTCCCAAGTAACAAGCGATAGGACGAGAGGAAATGGTCTTAAGCTGCGCCAGGGGAGGTTTAGGTTGGATATTAGGAAAAACTTCTTCACCAAAAGGGTTGTCAGGCACTGGACCAGGCTGCCCAGGGAAGTGGTTGAGTCCCCATCCCTGGAGGTATTTAAAAGACATGTGAATGTGGCACTCAGGGAGATGGTTTGGTGGTGGACTTGGCAGTGCTAGGTTAACGGTTGGACTCAAGGATATTAAAGGTCTTTTCCAACCTAAACAATTCTATGATTCTATGATTCTCTCTTCTATTCCCACCTACTTCTTGTTCACTTGCCAGTTCCCAGGCCCAGTGCCCCTGTTAGGACAACTACAATATCATGCTAAATTCTATGTTTCATCTTAGTATCATCAGACACTGGCTTTCTGTAGCCTTTTGTTTCTCTGTCCAGTATACAGTCTTTCTGGAGACCGCTTCCAAATCTCCCTCTCAGCTCTTTATCCCCTATCTACTTATTCCTCATCGTAAGACTAGTTTTTGCCCTTCTGCACCTAAATTAGCACAGCGTCCTCCTCCTGTCTGTCATAGTCAAACAAGGAAATAGGTCACTGAAGAAATTGCCCCAAAATTAGGTTGGATGCCTAGAGCCAAAATTACATAAAGTAACATGAGTATTAACTGCAACATTCTTATTTGATCAGGGCAGAAGCATGAACAGAGTATTTATGAAAATTAGCGGTTAAAAATCTATACCAGTTTCTACTGACTTTTCAAAGGCTTAGAACTTTTGCAGAGGAACAAAAAGACAGTGAAACACATATCTGTAGTACAAAGGCCAATTTTGCCTTATTTCAGTCTCAGGGCTAAAAACGTTTGCTGAAGTTTTACAAAAGAATTCACTGAAATATTCTAACAGAAGTAAAACCATGTGTCTTCTCCCTTGCATCTTTTCCCAAATGGCAGGATAGCCCCCAGTCGTCTTCCTTCCCTTTTTCATAACCTGTGGTCCTATGGTCACAGCTACAATAAAGGCAGATGCAGTATAGAATATATTAACACCTTTCAGGAAAGTTTTTACCTTGATATCCGAAGTGTCACGCTGACTATTGCGCCACGCTCTTGAAATAGATGAAAAAGTTCTATCTGCATGATCAAACTTCCCACCTTGTAGATTCAGGAAAAATGTTGTAAAGGGTTCCTAAATATATATAAAAATATTCATTAAAAACAGCAGTGTATTTCTTTAGGAATTCCAGGGGAAAAAAAGGGATTTTTTAATTCTTTTGGGGTTTGGTTATTAATGATGCTATTCTTCTGGCAGACACATGATTAATTGCAAAGGGTTAATTCTATTGTCCAAGAATCAGAAATACAAACTGATACTTATTTGTTCAATAAATGCTTTTTATTCCTACTCCATGCAGATATATTTAGATTTTAAAAAAGCAAATAAAACCCAAAGAAAATATTTACAGGGAGAAGCTACAGTCAGTTGTGACACAAATTGCTCTCGAAAACATGAAAAAGGTCAATATTTTTACCTTAGATATTTTTTAAACTAGCATGTAACAAAAATAACGCATGCATTTTTTTTTGTTCAAGGTAATCTATTAATATAAGGGGTAGTATTCAATACCCATAGCTGTATGACTGTTATTGTTTAATATGTAATTTATGATTTAGAAAAGAAAAATGTTTGAAAGATTTAAAAGCCTCCTCTTAGTTAAAGAACACTTAAGCACATATTAGTGGATAATTGCTTGAAATTAGCTAAGCGCTATAAATTACTTCAAGGATTTATGTACGCTTGTACATTCTAACAAGCTTTAATTAATGATGTGCTGCTAACGCTTTCCCAAAAGAAATTACTTTCTAGGAGATAAATCGCCTTTCAATTTTATAGAAAAATGCATTGTTTAACCAATATATTATCAATATGTAGCATCTTAGAAGTTACTTCCATATAAATTGCAGATTTTTAAAAATTAATTATTTACATCACTGAATTCCATGATCATCAGAAACCAACTCATTTACACTCATTAAGAGGTGAAAATTAAATACATTCGCTAAGAACCACAAATGTTCAGTACAGTCAGAAAATATGCAAGGATGGAAAGTTAACCATGGTTAAAGTAGTATAAGAATGTACGCTAAAATGCAATTTTAAAGGAGAAAAAGCTTTACTGGTTTGAAAAGGCTGTACCATAAACATTAAAACCTTCTGCTTAAACTTTGGAATACATTTATCCTACACTACTGATTACAATTACTAGTAAAATTCAGTACTCTCCTATGCCATCGAGTTTTAGTTTATTCATTCCTAACTGTTTGTTACTTTCATTATCATTTAAAGGAAAAGCATTTTTAAAAGATATACTTACAATTCTTAATAACCACGTGAGTGCAAAACTTGCAGTTGAATAATGTGTGCCATAGTGAAATTTTGGAACCTGATCATCTTCCCACGATTCGTATCTCTCGGCAAAGAACGCTGCTCTCTTTGGGTTCAAAGCTCCAATAGGCTACAAGGTTTGTAAAAATAAATACATTAAGTAAGTAAAGATAACATGGCTTATTATCACATCATACTCCCCTTGCTCTTTTTGGTAACCAGAATTATCGGCATGCATGGAGAAGACTGGGTTTGCTGTTTTGCAGAAGCAGATGTTGGATTCTGTAAGCACCTGAACAGACGTGTGTATTGCAAACCCGGATTCCATGCACACGCACGTGGCTGGTTGGAAAAAAGTCTCTTCTGCGTCCGTATAGGCTTCAGTTCTATTTACTGCTGATTCAAGTCTACGACTAAAAAACGCTTCGCAGTGGAATGTCTTGGACAAATTGTTGTTAACTTGTGTGCCTGTGGATATGTGTGCATGTTGAATACATATTAAGCAAATGGTAAGCAACAATGAGAAACACCTTTGGATATTTTGGGGGGAAAAACAGTGACCAATAGGGTGGAAGAATATTAACAGTGCACTGGAAATTTTGATATTATTATTCTTGTTTCTATGCTTTCTATTTACCATCCCAAGACAAGATCTACTTAATGGATAAAACCTGAAACTTTGAAATAGCCAAATAAAATAGCAGAATTTCTATATAAAAGCATTGATATAAAAGAAACAAATAACATATGTAGGATTAAAAAAGTCTATCACGCTTTCACCAACATTGTTATTCTTTGTTCAGCGCTTACCTAGGACAAAAACACCCAGGGATTTATTTAAATGTAAGAAATATAGTATTTTGTTATCTATAGCTGTGTATTTCTTCAGCAGGCTTTTACATAAAGGATTTGGAAAAATGAGTATACGTCACATAAATCACTGAGAAACCCAAAAGTGAATTTAGCCATTCCACATGTAAAATGCTGTAAAAGGTCTAAAATATCTTTGTATATACGTGCAAAACATATATGCAATACAATTTTTATACATATTGACCACACTGTTTGTATGTTATTAATGTAAATGATGCCCATCTGTACAGACAATGGATGCATTCAAGTATAACTGAAGAATAAACATGCAAAAATATTTTCTTCTTTCTGTTCTGCAAGAATAAATATACTTAATAGTACACTACAAGGAAAAACTTTAAAAGAAAAGTCCTTGAACAACAGTATCAGTAACCTAGTCATTAATTCAAGCATAGTTCAAGTGAAAAACTGTGTCTGCTATTCAGATTATTATTCAAATAACTGCTTCTTTGCAGCTCACATGAAATTTGGCATACAAGCTTCGAAGTGTTTTCTCATCTAGGATAGATTAGATCTACGAATGACCTACAATCTAATCTTACATTTTTTACTTAGAGCGACTTTTACATTGCAGTATTATAAAGAAAACATCTTAGGTTAATTACTATTTTTGCAGTTCACTAATTCGAAATATAACCCTTTAAAAGAAGTGGTTCCTGTATAAAAGGATTTTTATCTGATTTAGCAAATTTATTCCAGGGAAGAATGAAACTGACTCCAAGAAGTCTCTTTGTTGCAAGAACCATTTTGGAATCTCCATCTGTACTGATTTTCCCTAAAGACTCAGCTATGCTTGAGGGAAAAAAGAAGAAAGAAGGTCATTGGTAGACAAATTATATGAATTAAAAATAGAAACAGTGTTGTGCTGTACGGTTCTGTAACATTTTATGTATTCTCTTTATCTGCCCCTATTTTTATTACTCTCCAAATGAGTATAGCCCAAATCAATAGTTATAGAATTACATTCTTTGAATATAAAGCTAAACCCAATTAGAATTGATTTCATTCTCTTCTCGAAAAAAAAAAATGGTATCATGCAGAGATCCATATAGCCAGAATCCACAGTATTGATTTTGGCTGTTATTGTTACAGTTGGTTTCTGAAGCCTGCAACAGGACGACTATCAAGACATGTCACATTTATTTGCAAGCAAATAAAAAAAGTCCCCAAATGAAAGAAAGCTTAGGGAAAAAAAAAAAAAAAAAGAACCGTGGAGCTGTGCACTGACAATGATACACTATCAGCTTACTCAGAGAAGTTACAGTGGGAATACACACATTGAATTATACATTACACGAATGCACTGATTTATTGTGGTAATAACATCCACCTCATTAAAAGATTCTGCTTTGCTGCAGTTGGAGGGCTACATATTGTTTACTGCTATAAATTAATGGCAGCGCACAGAAGACTGTAGAACCCTTCTAACAATAGATCTGTAATGACAGTGCTGTATATCACAGCTTCCCCAGCAGCTTCATAATAAAATGGAGACAATGTATTGGGCTAATACATTCTACCAGGCAGGCCCATATTTTTCTGACAACTGCTTCTAAGGATGAGGTGATTCTAGTGTGTTACACTGCACTGTGAACAGTTCACTAAGCTTGAGCTACAGAATAAAGCACATACAAGGAATATGCAAATACCCTCTGACTTTTAATTTAGTAAACAAATTAATTGGAATTTTGTAATTATTTCATATTTCAAAATTCACAGGGAATCACGATTACATACTGGATTCCCTCCCCTGTGGGTAAATGCCAAGGGAAAAAGAGTAACTCCAAACTAAGCTGTGCTAGATGTAGCTGTGAGACCACAAATTTACACTACTCAACATGGTTTCCTTATGGCTACAGACCACTAAGGAAGAACAGGCTGAAAAGCTTTCATATCCAGAAATTCCAGAACGTATTTTCTTTGCAGTACCTCTTTTCAGAGGGGAAAATTAGATATTAGTTCACCAATTAAAAATACTTATTTAGAAGGGGGGAAAAGAAGAAAAGTAGATATAGAAAAATTCCAACAAGCAAAAACAACGAATGAGCTTACAGGAGTCAAGACGAAAAAAGAAATCACTTAGGGCTGCTAAGTTTTCAAACTGTATTGAAAAATGAATAATGCATATGGTTTTCAAGTCAGAGTTCATTCAAAAAAGGGTCCAAATTGGAGGAAGAATTGGGGTAAGGAAGTTTTTTTTTTCTCTTTTCCAAAGGCATGATCACCTGGTTTTTGACCCAAAGTGGTCGTTATAATGACCTGTACTACAAATATGAAAGTTATAAGCTATTCTTAAAAAAAAAAAAAAAACTTATTTGATATTAATTTTTCAAGTACTCTCAAATCTAGGAATACCTCAAAATAAATAGAACCCCACATTTTGACCAAGAACTGAATACAGTAAATCTCAGTCTTTGGACCAAGCTTGCTTGCTTTGAGACACAACAAAGAAAAATGGTTTGTTGAAAAATAACTGAGAAAACACACTGACTCTTACCATCTACTGCGGTTAAATATGTCCAGACACTATGGTGTACAGTTATATTTGTTGGTTCTTAATCTTACTCTGTGCCAGACGTTGGAACAGTGGCCCATCTTGCTTCCATTTTCAGAAGAGGCCCTGTTGCACCCAAGAGAAGAAAGCAGAATGCTCACTGCTCCTCTCCATAGGGCAGAGTCTCTCCTGGATTCTGTCGCTCATGTTCAACAATACATACGTTTTGGAAAATTGCCACTGACCTATCATAAACAGACTGAAGGCTTAAAAAGAAAGAATTTATGATATGTTTATTTATAGTTACACATTTAAGAAGAAAAAGAGGTGCTTTTTATTCCTATCTAATGTGTTTTCATTTTTTAAATAGTCTTACTCCCAGTAAACAGCCATACCCTGTTCATACCCATGCTGCCTTTTGTTACTGGCTTTTACACGGGCTTCTGTTATTAAAACAAACATTGCCACTTTTACTGTCTCCTATCCATTGTAATACTGGGAAGAGTTTTTAACTCATTAATAGTCAAAATCCATGAAAGACTAGAGTACTATGGCAGTAAATTGCATTTAATTACTGCAAACAACAAGGAGTCAAGATACCATAGTTTAGTCTTCACTGTTAACTGTTACCTCTTTTGGTGAAGACGGCAATCTTAACAATTACTACTGGAAATCAGGAGATCTGTGCAAGTGCCTGTGAGTTCTGAAAAGCAGTCAGTTCCACAAACAAAGCCCACGCTGACCAGTGCAAACAGAAAGGTTTAGAAATTAATGAAAATATTATTGTTTCACATTTGTATTTCAAAACTTCTTCACCATGAAAAAATAAAAAAGGGAAAGAAAGAAAATTAAAAAAAAAAAAAAAAGGCAAAAAGAAAAAAAGGGGGGGAAAGAAAAAATGTTTTTCCTTGTGATTTCCTACACAGTTTTCTTATCCACATCCAACCAGGTATTTGGATTCCTGTGAATACAATTGTCTGTATCATTGAATTATGTTTTGCAGCATCCTTGCCAAGTATGATGCTTGTTTTCCATACGTTTTATTTTCAAGATGACTATCTGGTTTTCATTACTGATATTTTTCATATATTCATTGGGCTTAAAGGACCAGGGGGACCATTAGGTCATCTCATCTAGCCTTGTGTTTGTATGACAAGCCATTAAATGCCTTTCCATTACATGATTTCGAGCCCAACTGTTTATACTTGATTATAGCATGAGCTGCATTTGGTCAACCTGCTTTCCAGAAAGGCATCTGACTCTTGAGTACATGGACAATCTGCTGTTTTTCTTGGAAGCTTTTTCTACTGATAATTGTGATCCTCATTCTGAAAAATACATACTTCAGTTCGGCTATGAATTTACTGGTGTGTCACCAAAGAAATCTTATTACGCTTCTCACTGACATATTACAGAGTTTCTACTTACCCAGTATTTTCTGTATGTAAAGATACTTACAGGCTATAATTAGACCTCTCAATAAACAGAAGAAATTGAGCTCTTCAGGTCTTCCATTTTAAGGCATTTCTTCCAGCCTTAAGATTTCTCTACAGCCTGCGCACTCATCAATGTATTCTAATATACAGATATCTGAAATGTGTTCAGTGTTCCAGTGTTAAGTCTTCTCACTGTCATAAATATGCCAAGTGCTCTATACTCTGCTGCAATCTAACCACAACTGCATTTTTAGAGGATTGCTTGTTTAGTTACTTTATGTATTACCAACACGTAATTAACTCCCAGAACTAGCCAATACTTGTAAT